CAAGCTTCTGTGTGAATGGACAATATGTCCACTACATCTGTAGATCTCAGAAATGCATCAGTCTGAGTTCTATGGAAAGTGAGTACTACAGCGCTGTGGGAAGTGCGTGCCAGGGCTTGTTCATGAAGGCTGTGATCGAGTTTATGAGCCGGAGCCCCTGCGACCTGATCGTGTATGTTGACAACCAGTCTTGCAAAGCTTTCTGTTTGCGTCAGGGAGTTACAAAAGCTAGCAAGCATTTTGAGGGCCGGCTACTGTGGTTGCAAGACATTGTGCAGCAGAAACGTCTGGTCATGAAGTACATCTCGACCCACTTCAACTTAGGAGACCTCCACACTAAGCCACTCTCCCCAAGCCGATTGAGAACGCTACTCTTTCTGTATGACTTTGTGGACTGCCACTCCAGGCCTATCGGGGAAAACGAGTGGGAGCAAACGTGCACGGCGGCATCGGTCAGAGCTCAGGTCAAGCGTGTTCGAACAGTGGTAGGAACTGATGTGTCGAGCACGTGGGTTAAGCGAGTGGCGATGCTTTTGCTTATGATGCCGATTCCAGCAGAGGCGAGCTTTGTGCCAGTTGCAAACACGAGTGCATGCCTCTTTCTTGCAGTGCTTGTTTCGATGTGCATGGCAATCTATGCTATGGAAAGTACAGCAGAGCATGGTGCTATCAACAGCGATGAAGGATGGTTGTACATTGCAGCACCCGGCGGGCCATGGTACCGTCGTGGGGCAGTGTGTGCTATAGGTGCCATTTTGGCAACAGTTGCTTGGAGCCTTGGGTCATTTTCGGCCGGTTTCTTGCATGGAGTGGAGGTGGAGCTTTCCACTACGACTACGACAACAATGACGACGTCAAGCAGCCATGATGTGATTTCTTTTATGATTCTTTGTGGGCTGCTATGCGTACTTGTGGCACTGAGCATTTTGCTCGTGCGCACTCGGTGTGCGCTCAATCGAGAGCGCATTGAAGTTCGAGAACTTGGAGCTTTGTGTTCGGCTCTATGGGATGAGCAGAAGGATGACAAGAGATCGCTTCACGAGCTGAAGCGCGAGAATCGTTCATTGAGGGACGAGAATGCGATGATACAGCTTGAGTTCTATGAACTGCCGCATGGAAGGCAGTATGAGAGGCGTGATGCAAGCACGCAAACATGATGCCATTTGCGGTCACCAATTCCCTTTACGGTGGCCAGGCATGTGAAACGTGAAGGCCGTGTTACGCACATCAATGCCCCCTTACGATGTGCAGGCCGTGTGAGAGAATGGTGAGCCCGTGTTACGTGTGCCAAGTTTTACGGTGCACAGGGCATGAGGAGTGAGTTTCACTTGAGTTTCGGTGAGCTTCGTAGTTGTACGGTAGTGTACTAACGAACCTCAGGCGGGGTGATGAAACATTACATCCCTGCCCTTTGTACACACGTTGCTTGAACAGTTTTACATGTGTTAACACGTGATTTTGGCATGAGCCCAATTTCATGGAGCACATTGTGAATTGCAGAACTCCGCTACGTACCAGGCTCTGAGTTGTGGAAAAGTCCGATTACGTTTTCAAAAGGGGCGTGTGAAAGAGCTGGAAGAGTACCACCGTTGGTGTGAAGTCTTGGCGTCATGGTTGGCGCTCATAGACGACAACTATGTCAACTAGTTGCGCCAAGCAGTGGTGCACCACAAGGAGATCAAGCAGTCGGAGATGTCTGCCCCTGTGGCGTCAAGGTCAGCTCGGTTGTTTTACTACCTTCAGCAAAGTCTGCAGAAGTTTGAGAGAGGCATGGAGCTTGTGAGGAGCACTCCATGCGTCAAGCTCAAGCTGCGTGTGGGTACGAAGTCATGCGGCAAATGCATGCGACTTTCAGCATTGTCTCAAGAATGGAGGCTATTGCTGTGAGGGACGAAGCCTTGAAGCTGCCTACGAGAGCCAGAGCCTACAAGCGACCACTTGATGTGGTCCGGTTCTTGGAGGATGAGCTGGGCAAAGTGGACCAGAAGCTGCATCGTTTTCCAGAGCTGAAGCCCGGAGCTTCAGACCGCCTTCAATCTGTCAACCCCGAGTGCCGTCAGTACGTTGTGTTGCACGGCAAGTCGGGAACTTGGGAGGAGCTTGTGACAAGCATCCGGTTCCTTGAGGAACAGACCAGGCTTTGCGACGCTGGTGCTCTTCACGCTGTTGGCGAGAAGGGTTTGTGTTGGAACTGCGGCAGAACTGGTCACTACAGTTGGCAGTGTCCCGACCCAACAAAGGGTGGAAAAGGGAAAGTGTTAAATCTTGTACATGGAAATGCCCCACGCCTTTGGTGAGCCCTAGGCTACGGTATATCACTTGTATAGTTGTGAAGTTGACCGTACGCAGCGCCTTTGGCTTAAGCAGAAAAAGCGTGACCGCTTAGAGTCTTACAGTTTAACTTGGTAGCGGAGCAGAAGAGCCTGAAGATCCAGGAAGCCCGTGGGACGAAGGAAACCTTGTAAGCCCGGATTGGAACCGGAGGAAGAATTCAAGGACACCTGGAAAACTGGATTGTAAGAACTTTGGATCCGCCATGACGATGATCGAGATGAAGCTGTACAAGGACCTTCTGCGAATCATGTATGGATTGTGGATGTGTATCATGCTTAGCCAGGGAAGCATTCATGAAACAAGTTGCCTGTGGATGAACATGTCTCACCTTGATGTATCGCCGCAGCCGTACTTCCTCAAAGAGGACCAGGAAAGCTGTGTATGGGAATCTTCTGTTCTGTACGAAAGATGGAAGAAGCCCCAAAGAGCACTCGGTACACCGAGAAGTTTTCGTTGCCTCCAGTGGGAAGGCCGGAAGCGTCGCCAGCACCTACTACCTCCCAGGAAGAAGCTATGGGAACCCGTATTTCGGAGTTGGAAGAGATGCGAAGCGATGCTAAAGAAAGAAGGAAGTCAGTGGTTGAGGCACAGACTCCAGCGAGGAGTGAAGCTGCCCCAAGTACAGGAGGAAAAGGAACCCCAGCATCCGGAAATGTCAAGTCTCGGGAAGAAAAGAAGAAGGAAAAGAAGACTGCTAGGAAAGAAGCCAAGCAGAGCCGAAAGGCAGAGAAGCAGAAGAGGAAGATGGAAGAACCCAAAAGCCCTGGAAGTGTTCGGCGTCGATTGGATGAAGCTATGGAAGTGGCAGGATCGATTGAGAATGTCACCTTGCTTGAGAAAGAATATAAGCGGTATTCTCGGGATCGAACGTATCGGCCCCCCTTCCGTAGTATCTACAGCCAGATGTTGCAGAACAATCTGCGCTTCATCCCTATGCCCCTCCAGGGAAGGATGCGGAGACACTTCGTCTGGAAGCTCTTAAGGAAGAAGAAGACCGGAAAGCTGAAGCTGAGAAGCAAGCTGAAGCAGAGACTCGGAAGAGGAAGCTGGAAGAGCTGGAAGCAAAGAAGCAGACCTTGGCAGAGGAGACAAGAAAACAGCAGCAAGAACTTGAGGAGGAAACAAAACGCCTCCGAGCAGTGGAAGATGCTGAGCGGAGAGCTAAGGAGCTGCAAAAGGCGAACCTCCCGAATAAGGTCGAAGTACCAAGTCTCAAGGAAGATCCCCAGGAAGAATGGTACCGTGAGAAGTCGCGTGAAGTTGTGGACCGCTTGCGCTCCAGGAGAACTGAGCAGGCGGAGATCGCTCGTAAGACCAAGGAAGAATGGCAAGTTGCTTGCCGGAACCTCGAGAAAGCACAGGAGAACTACTTGGCTGCCCAGCGAGGATACACAGTCGCCTCGGAGAAGCTTCAATCGGCTGTTGGAAAAGTCATGGAGAAAGCTGTACGCTTCGGAGAAGAAAGTTCCCTCAGCAACTGTTTGGACGAGATCTTCGAGTCAACGACTCAGGTTCGGGAACCCGCAGGTGCAGGAAAAACAAAGCCTCAGACGAAGAAGATGCCAAAATTGCCGGATACGGAATCCAAGGAAGCCCCGAAGAGTACCGAAGAGGACAAAGGACGAAAGCTTCGGGAGAAAAGCAAGCCTCAGCGAGGAAAGAAGCAGCCGCCGGAAGAAACCCCTGGACGTGAGTGGACCGAAAGAATCTACGAGGAGGATTGGAGAGAGTCAAGAGGACAACTCAGAACGGGAGAAGAGTGGATACCAGGGAGCAAAACTCCTTTTAGTGCGTCTTGGACTGAAGAGGTTTCAGAGCTGCTCGAAGGACTTGCTCGAAGAGGTTTTGGAGAGAAAGAACGCTACGGAGAAAGCGAGACCCAGCCGTTGTGGAACTTTCCGTGGCAGATTTCAGGGTATGAAGACTACGAAAGTATCAATGCCAGCCTGGAGAAGTACAGTATCCGCTTGGTGGCATCGAAGCGTGAAGCGAAAGGCTCAGGACGTGGAAATGGCTTGGAATGCTGGAGCCTACATCCTGTGGGCAAAGGAAGACTGGACATCGAAGCCACAGAGACCTCCCGTGCACGTACTGTATATGGAAGTCTTCCGCCAGGCAAAGGCCTGTGCTCACTATGCTGGCACAGAGGACACTGGAAGAAGCAGTGCAAGTTCCATTCGCTCGTCTTTGTTATGTACGAAGCCATGCTTACAGTGTTGGACCGGGAAAGCAAGGTCCGACGAATGTATCCGATGCGAGGAATCGGAAAGCCTGGGTACAAGAAGGACGAATCTGGATTCAACCCGTATCGGAAATTTTTCCCGATGCTCGCAGTTTGCGACTACGGAGCGATGTCAAAGGAGATATCACTCTGTAACAAAGCTCACTGGGAGCGAGCGAAAAGAGACGGGGACTATCCCTATCTCAGTCCGGAGGAGTTGGAGAGTAAGAAAGAGGAAGCAAGCCGGACAGCCAGTGCGAAGCGGAAAACTGCGCCAGTGGTGGACTTGGTTGGAAACGAGGAGGAACAACCCCAGCTTCAGGAAGAGCCATCTACGCCAAATAAGGAAGAACTCCGGAAGAAGTATGAGGAGCACCACAAGGAGAAATTGCGCCAGACCTTGGCAAGCCGCGCAGCCCAGAAAGTCCTGGATGAAGTTCTGGAGGATGAAGAACGAGCAAAAGCAACTGAAGCCACAAAGGAGAAAGACTCGAATGATGCAGAGGACGAAAAGAAGCCGGAAGCCGAAGAACCAGAAGCTGGAGATGGAGGTCGAGCCCCGTGTGTGGAAGGACCAAAGCCAGAAGAGCCCGTGCCGGACCAAGGAGGCCCAGGACCGGATGAAGCCGGTAGCGATGATCGAATGTCAGATGACTCAGAGTCGAGCGAAAGCTCAGAGCGTGTTGAAGATGCTGAAGTTAGAGAAGAAGAAAAGGACATCGAGGAAGCAACACCACAAGGGACCGAAGACATTGACAAGAATGACTTGTGAGTATCTGGACTCACGCGAGGCGCTTGAGCTAGTTGCAACAAAAGTTGCCCCTGTACTACTAACACTTCTTCTGACTGGATGGATCTGCGTTTTCGGAAGAATGCAAAAAGGAGTGTCCGAAGTTTCAGAACATGCCTGTATGCGGAGGAAAGTAAATCGTATGCCTAGTATCCGTTGGAGACGCAGAGTAAGTGGATTCAAGCGAAAGCTGAAAGCCCTGGTATTTGCCTGTTTGCTTGTCAGGACGGAATCTATGCAAGGAGGACAGCCATCATCGGCTGCCGGAGTCCCAGTACAGGATGGATCAGACGGAGACGGATTAGGTATGGTACCTACGCAGGATATACTCGGACAGCTAGTTCAGAACTCCAGAGTCACGACTGAAGCGATAAATCAGCTAGTCACCTACTCAGGAAGTCAAAGTAGCCAAGGAAGTTCGTATGAAGGTATACTTTCGAAGGCACTAGAAGGTGCAGTGAAGATGTTGGGTAGACCCCCTTCGTTCGGAGGGAGTAAAACCGACGCACAGGATTTCATGGATTTCAAAGAGCAGTTGTACAACATCCTTGCGTATGCGGAACCCAAGTATGCGGATGCGTTCAGGAACTTGGAGAAATTGGAAGATCACGAGATGCTGCCCCCGACGTTTGCGGATGAAACCCAGCAGACTATGTCGACAAAGCTTTATTCGTTACTGAGCTCTTGGTTGACAGGAACTACGAAGCAACATGCACGAGATCCAAGCATTGCTGGAACGCGGAATGGATTTGCTCTGTGGAAATCGTTGTTGCGGATGTATCAACCTAGTACTCGAAGCAGGAGTTTAGCTTTGATGCAAGCGATTCATGGATACCCAAATTTCTCACCTGGATTGAGTGCCGTCGCACAAACTTCTAAGTTGGAAGAATTGGTGAAGGACTATGAGAGATGCAGTGGACAAAACTACCCCAGAGAAATTCTTCTATCTACTCTCTTGAGATGTATTCCAAAACTACGTATACTCAGGTGAAGGAGAGTGTACTTGTCTACGAACGGACTACAGGAAGTTGGATGCCAAACCAAGTATATCAACCTTTAGAGTTAGGACACCACCAACAGTATCTAGGAGCTGTTGAGAATGCACCTACTGGTGGAGGTCATCAAGCCATGGAAGTGAACAGAGTAGAGTATAAAGGAAAAGGATAGAAAGGAAGAGGTACCGGAAAAGGAAAAGGTAAGAAGGGATACGGTAAGATGTTCGGAGGATTTGGAGCCATACAAGCCGGTCGAGGATTCAGATTCGGACGTGGACGAGGAAAAGGTAAAGGTCGAGGTAAAGGACGAGGAAAAGGCAAAGGCAAGAAAGGTGGAAAAGGTAAGAAAGGCAAAGGAAAGAGTAAAGGTAAAGGTAAGAAAGGTAAAGGAAAACGTCTTGGACGAACTGTTTGTCGGATTTGTCATCAAGAAGGACATTGGGGGAACGAATGCCCCAACAGACATTCTGTTCGTAATGTGGAAGCGGAAGAAACTCCACAAACAGAGGCCTACACCAACAATCCGCCAAACCAGGAACCTTACCCTAGACCTAATGTGGTTGAGTCTGGTAGTATTCGCCAGACCACCAGTCGCCCCGACCCAAGGATCGTTACTCGACGAGTTGGAGCATCAAGTGGACCACCTGGATTTCAACCAAAACCCTTTTACCGTATAGCTACACCACCTGAAGAGTATCCGGAAACCTTTCCAATCAACTCGGATGATGAGGAGATAGACATCACGTATATCAACACCATACGGATGGTCAGGGAAGTTGCAGATGAGACTGCAGATGGTGAGGAAATCACCAACCCATTTTTCGGTGAACTACCCAGTCCTGGTTTTACAGACTCAGAGGAGGAATATGAATCTGGTGAACCAACTGGACACTGTCACAGTTGTGGTGAACGCCTGGAATTGGAGTGCAAACGAGTTGCACCACCTGAGACTGGAATCCCACGAGTTCCAGAGCATTATCCAGGAGAAGAACACTACTTGCGACAACAAAGGAAACTGAAGAGTGAAGGTAAGCCCTATGACAAGAAGGCCATCGAGGATGCGGTGAAGCGAGAAAATGAGTGGATCGAGTCTCACCTCAAAGCGCGAGAGGAGAAAAAGGAGACCGCCAGTGAGAAAGTTCGGATGGTTCGTGAAGAGTTCCATGATGTAGCAGAGTGGTATGTGATGGATGCCACAGATGAAGATGGAGAATGGTTTGTAGTTGGAGACCATGAAGTGGTCAGAGCAGTTCAAGTAGATGAGACAGCACCCGAAGAAGCACTTGAAGTTATCATCTTGGATTCAGGATCGGATGCGAGTTTGTTACCTAGGACGCACCCGAAAGCTGCACGCACTAATGCAGGATCAACCGGTATCTTGCTAGAGGATGCACAAGGAAATTGTTAAACATTCTGCCAGGAACAGTAACACAGCTAGTGCAGTACAGTTAATGTACAGGAACAGCCGTCACGCACACGCGACGTGCAGGCTCGAGACCCCAGGACACACCGTGCCCAGGAACAAAAGTGTCCGACAGTCTTTGTGGGTAGGAACCCTTAGTGAAGCCCGTTCTTTAACATGGTAGCGGAGCTGCCTCCAGGAACCTCCTTGGCAGCGATGATTCTACTCGTAGCCATAGGAACCATGATGCTCGGCGCCATGGCAGTTTGCCTCGTTGCCGGATGGAAGCAGATGCGCGCAAATGAGCAGATCACCAAGAAGACGGAGACAGTGCTCAATATGCCCACGCTCAGGATCGCAGTCCGTTCAGGAACAAAGTACCACCGCAGAGGTTGTGGACACCTTCGCAACCACAACGTGACAGCAGGAAACGCGCGAGACTTTGACGCTTGCGCCGATTGCTACCCCGACCGAGCGTTGGTGGAAGAGAGAGAGAAAAGGAACATGAAGTGCTACGGTTTGGCAGCATGTATGGTGCTGCTGGTTGGTTTCGCACTGGGAAGCCGCGCAACTTTGTGCGGGATGATCTTGGTCCCAGGAGCAGGAAGTATGGCGGTGAGACCGTGGCAGGCCCTTGGCAACAAAGTGGAGACCAAGGAAGAACTTGCCCTTGGAGACGTCTTATCCTCCAAGGATGCGAGCCGTGGGAGAAAGGAACTCACTTACGTGGAGAGCGACGAGAGCGAGCTCATGGCAGTGTGGTCGAGCAGAAGGAAGCCCAATACGCACCGGAACCGCTACAGGAACTACGACGTGTACGGCGAGTACTACCAGCAAGGCTACAACGAGTGCAGCATGAACCCCGACGGCACCAACGTTAACACGATCAGGAACACGAACGCGTACACGATTAAGGACTATGTGGAGATAGGAAAAGTCATGGTACCGTACGCTTTGTTGTGCATGAACCAAGTGATGAACGAGCGCTACAGCGTCGTTAGCGTGACCGGCGAGTACTACACGGAAGAGAACAGGAACGGCAACCAGAACACCGAGAACCAGGAGAGTGAGAGCCTTGAGTCAGGCTACGCCCCTAGGTACCTAGTAAAGCAACAGCGAGAAGTACTGAGGAAAGTTGTACAGGAACATGTTCACAGTTTCGTAGAAAAGCTAGCAACCGTAGGAAAGAAGTTTCACGACGTCGTGCATGTGATAGTTCAGGAAGTTATTTCCAACAGAGTTGTATTTCAAGGAATTCGCATAGCAGTGTTCTTAGGAACCCCAATGGGACTGATTACTTGGATCACCCTGTCGTACTATTCTAGTGTGTTTTTCGCAAGAGCAAGCAACCGCTCAAAGCACCAAAGGAAGACAAGAGGAGAAAGGAGAGCACAAGCAGTGTGCAGGAAACAGTGCAAGTCGCTACTTTTAGCAGCACTAGTATACAGCAACCTTGAAACAGCAAAAGGAATGGAGGATGCATTGAAGGCACTTGCCGAGATCAATGCACAGACCTTACAAGGAATACAAACACTAGCAGAGGAGATCAGGAACTCAGCAGCTTCAGGAAGTCAAAGAGAAGCAGGACTTACGCAAGCATTCCAGGAAACCCTGACAGCAGTTCAGGAACAGCAGAAGACAGCGCAAACAGCGTTGGCAGACGCCCACACGAACGCAGCAACGACACTTGAGGAGATAGGAGCATCTCTGGAGAAAGCAGTAAAGGAACAAAGAAAGCCTGGAGAAGTGGAGTTGCACAAGCTGATTAAAAGCCCCGAAGCATTTTCCCCAGGAACATGGCAAGAAGAGAAGAGTGTATGGACAGAGTTCAGGAACAGGATGCGGATCTGGCTTGGAGCAGTGGATTCCAACATGGTGAAGATCATGGACATCGCCGAAAGGAACCTAAAAGATGATAAGCAAGTGAAGATGGCTGAGATGTCTGCAGAAGCAAAGGAAACAAGCAGACGCCTGTATAGTGTTCTTTGTTCATACACCAAAGGAAGGCCGTACCGAGTTGTAAAGCATGTAGCTGAGGAGAACGGTATGGAAGCTTACCGTATGCTACTCAAGGAATATCAACCAACGAATCGTGCGAGATCGTTGGAGTTGTTTCACAACATTCGCAACTACAAATTTGCTCACAACAAAGGAATTGCTGAGAATATCCTCGAATATGAGGAACACATCGAGAAGTACGAGAAGGCTACTGGAGAAAAGGTACAGGCGAATTTGAAAGTATCTACTCTTATTCAAGGTATGAAACCTGACGTGAAAAGGCACTTGTTGCTCAACATGGATGAGAAGACACAGTACAATACTCTTCGTCAGTACCTTGTGAACTATGAGTCAACTGAGCGTTGGACTAACTCTTTGGCAGCCCAGCAAGGAACACCTCATCGAACCACAACAGACTTGATCGACAAAGGTGATGACCATGGTGGTCTTGCAGCAATGGATATCAACCAAGCATGGTACAAAGGAAAGAAAGGCTATGGCAAAGGTTATGTTCACCATAAAGGCAAAGGTAAAGGAAAAGGCAAGAAAGTGGAAAGGACTTTGGAAAAGGTTACGGCTTTGACAGC